ATATATGTATATATATATATATATATATATATATATATATATACACTGCTCAAAAAAATAAAGGGAACACCTAAACAACACAATGTAACTCCAAGTCAATCACACTTCTGCGAAATTAAACTGTCCACTTAGGAAGCAACACTGAGTGACAATCAATTTCACATGCTGTTGTGCAAATTGGATAGACAACAGGTGAAAATTATAGGCAATTAGCAAGATGTTTTGGTCACTTTTGAATGCTGTCGGTGCTTTCACTCTAGTGGTAGCATAAGACGGAGTCTACAACCCACACAAGTGGCTCAGGTAGTGCAGCTCATCCAGGATGGCACATCAATGCGAGCTGTGGCAAGAAGGTTTGCTGTGTCTGTCAGCGTAGAGTCCAGAGCATGGAGGCGCTACCAGGAGACAGGCCAGTACATCAGGAGACGTGGAGGATGCCGTAGGAGGGCAACAACCCAGTAGCAGGACCGCTAGCTCCGCCATTGTGAAAGGAGGAACAGGAGGAGCACTGCCATAACCCTGCAAAATGACCTCCAGCAGGCCACAAATGTGCATGTGTCTGCTCAAACGGTCAGAAACAGACTCCATGAGGGTGGTATGAGGGCCCGATGTCCACAGGTGGGGGTTGTACTTACAGCCCAACACCGTGCAGGACGTTTGGCATTTGCCAGAGAACACCAAGTTTGGCAAATTTGCCACTAGCGCCCTGTGCTATTCACAGATGAAAGCAGGTTCACACTGAGCACATGTGACAGACGTGACAGAGTCTGGAGACGCCGTGGAGAACGTTCTGCTGCCTGCAACATCCTCCAGCATGACCGGTTTGACAGTGGGTCTGTAATGGTGTGGGGTGGCATTTCTTTGGGGGGCCGCATGGCCCTCCATGTGCTCGCCAGAGGTAGCCTGATTGCCATTAGGTACCAAGATGAGATCCTCAGACCCCTTGTGAGACCATATGCTGGTGCGGTTGGCCCTGGGTTCCTCCCAATTCAAGACAATGCTAGACCTCATGTGGCTGGAGTGTGTCAGTAGTTCCTGCAAGACGAAGGCATTGATGCCATGGACTGGCCCGCCCGTTCCCCAGACCTGAATCCAATTGAGCACATCTAGGATATCATGTCTCGCTCCATCCACCAACGTCACGTTGCACCACAGACTGTCCAGTAGTTGGCAGATGCTTTAGTCCAGGTTTGGGAGGAGATCCCTCAGGAGACCATCCGCCACCTCATCAGGAGCATGCACAGGCGTTGTAGGGAGGTCATACAGGCACGTGGAGGCCACACACACTACTGAGCCTCATTTTGACTTGTTTTAAGGACATTACATCAAAGTTGGATCAGCCTATTTAATTTTGAGTGTGACTCCAAATCCAGACCTCCATGGGTTGAAAAATTTGATTTCCATTTTTTTATTTTTGTGTGATTTTGTTGTCAGCACATTCATCTATGTAAAGAACAAAGTATTTCAGAAGAATATTTAATTCATTCAGATCTAGGATGTGTTATTTTTCTGTTCCCATTATTTTTTTGAGCAGTGTATATATATATATATATAGTTTATTTTTCTTCCTGGGCTAGGAGGGTAGGCAGGACTCTGAGAACCTGGTGGTTGCCCTACTAACCAGAATTCAAATTGATAAGCCATCAATGTCCAGTTGACTTATATCCCCATATATTACAAAATCTTCCCCCTGAAACCCACACCTCTTAAATAAACAATGCATTAAAAAAAAGCTGGTTTTTTTTAAAACAGTTCAAGTAAATATACTCCCAAAGAAATCATGCATGTATTGTTTTAATTCAGTTATAAACATTTGGTCCTACCAATAGCCACTAACTGAAGTAAATAATATGCTGGCCTAGTCAGCACAATCCCTTCCTGACACAAGCTTTAAAAATAGTAGGATCAAAAGATGGATCTTATTGTCTAGTTAGTATTTGACCGGTGCCTAGTCCTTTTTGCCTAAGAACCTTTGCTGCCTGAACTGATACTCTGCTGTGGGTTTTGGCTACGTCCCCGTCTAATCCTTTTAATCTAATCCTCATTGAAGTGGTTTTAATGTCTGGAGTGCCGAGAGCTTCCCTATAAACACTTGTCATGAACCAAACACAGCGGATTTTTTCATCCCGTTTTGTGTATAGTCCCCTGTGTATTCGTTCGTTTTGGAAGTTCCTGGCTTTCCCCCAACCTTTTCTTTACATTCATCATGTTTAGCTAAATTCACTGGAGAAAAAGTAAGCTACACTCAAACCAGCATATTGTGTTTTGAATACTGTTCTCACAAGTATGTCAAGCAGAAAATGAGGGCAGTGTACGTATTGGTTGTAGTTACCCCCCTCCATCTTTAAGAAACATTGGCGTTCAGTAAGTGTGTCTTGCTATAAGTGATGGTTGACCATACTTGTAAAGTACCATTTCTGAATGTTTACGTGGTGTAGAGCAGATAAATGGTAATTTCTACTGGCTCGGGGAAACTAGCCATGCCTCCTCTCAGTGCAGTTTCAATTACAAAATAAAGTCATTTTTTAGTATCAGAAACTCCACCCGTGCATGACTGATTAGCGCATACATATTGCTTGAGAAGTCACACGTGGCATGTGAAACCGGCCAAGTTTCTTCAGCTCCCCTGTGCTGGTTCTCCTGTTTTTACAAACCCTTGAGAGCAACAGAGAGAGTTTATCTTTGGTCTTACTCATCTGCACTGTGGTTGATGAATGATTAAGTAGTAAAATCCACCAGGTACCATTCACGAGGAACCCAGTTCTGAAACTGTAAGATTAGGTTAAATGTCAAACCACCTGGAACAATTTTAATTTGAAGTGGTTTGGGTATCGTCTTCACATACACTACATGATTTTCAGTTTGTCTTTCATTTAACAAAAAGCTATAAAACATGGCTGCGACATGCAGGGGATGGGAATTATCTGTGTTTTCATTCAGTACTACACTATAACTTACTGTAAATCAAATAAGAACCCTTAGACTTGGAGAGACTATTTGTACTTGCGCAGCACAATGGTGGAAAGATAAATCACAAAGAAATGTATTTATGTTTGTGGTTTCATGTTATGAATGTGTCACGATACAGAGTGTTACCAACTTGTTCAGTGCACTAGGTATCTGTTTACTATGTATACAATTAAGTAGATTATTTATTTTAGAGGGGAGGACAGAGGCAGCAAGGAGCAGCTTAAAATATCTCCTAATCCTAGCTTTTACTACTGTTCCTAACCATACCCCTAATCCTATAATCATAACTGTCATACAAATCCCTAGCTCAAATCCTTAACTCCCATACCCCTAAACCTAATCCTAACTCCCAACCCTAGATTCTAATCCTCGTCATTGCTCTTAACCATAATCCCTGTTCCTTGAACCCCAACACTAAACTCTAGTTTTTAATCCTGACCGTAGCTCCAAGCTAGTCTAAGAGTTTGGAACTTATTATTGAATCGATAATGACCTTTGTATTTCTTATTGACAAATTTAAAACCTTGCTTACAATGCCACCTTCAGTTTATCACTAAAAAAAGAAGTGTCTGTATATAATGCATTAAAAAGGAATAGGAATACATCATCCTAATAACCCTCCATCCCCGGTCGGTTACTCATTTATAGAGAGAGGAGGAGTTGCCTTGTGGTTACTCTCTGGCAGATGTAGAGTACACTGTAGGTGATCAGTTGTTCTTTTTCTGTCCCCTGAGCGATACTATGTAAGAAATGAAAGTTAACCTTCCAGCTGAGCTGTGTGGGACGGAATAGATATACACGTTGTTCTGTGCCACTTCTTTGATGCTTCCATGACATCATGTATGAAGTAGGAGCTTCATCTCGACTCATTCATAAAATCAGAGAGAGGAACAATCCCACTCAGAAAGCACTCGAAAATTACAATTATTTACATCTCAGTAAGTCAGAAAACCACTCTTTTTATTATTTTTAAAGGAACATTCAAGTTTTAATTTTTTTTTTGGTGGGAAAATCGAGGCAATAACTGTTTAACCCCTTCTCTACCAAGTCTTATTCTAATTTACAATACATTACCATAACACTTACTGGAAGCCAGGGTTACAGCGCTAGGATATAAACACAGGAAAAACGCATCTAGATTTCTGTACGGTAACAGTTAGAAAATAACCCCGCAAGATATCCGTGATCGTATACACCAGGATTAGAGGTATTTACCTCCTGGGAGGGTGTCTGTGCCAGCGTACTAATCATAAGACACCGCTGTATTCATCAAATCCATGTAGCAGGAGATCTGTACATTGTTTCAATGGTTAGGGTGTTAGTTTAGGAGGAGATGGTTGCCCTGGTGGGCTGAATTACGGCAGTGGAGGAGGGTGGGGGGAGCACCCATGTCACCCTGTTTTTAGGGGACACAGCTGTGAGGAATTATTCTGAATTGTCTGCCTGCATGGCAAGCATGGAGGACAGAAGCAGAACAATTAATATAAGCAAGGACAAGCACAATCAATTGAAGAAGAAGAGTCGGAAGATGACATGTCCAGATGAATGGGTTTTTCAAGACAGGAAATGATGAGAACATGAATTAGGTTTCTATTAGCGGAAACAAAGAGGGATATTACTGCACAGCTCCATTTCCTAATAAAAGCTGCATTCCTTACATACAGAACATTTTTTCTGCACATTAAATTGCAGACTTACATTTCCCCAGATTGTTGGATTCCCCCAATGTGATATCATTATGATACATTGCTAACAAGCAGATACACTCACATTCCAGTAATCATACTGTGCTCATTCCACCAAGTACTTTCAACACAGTGTGTTTGTTATCTACTCTTAAAATACAAGGGACACATAAATCCCATAATTATCAATTAGAGGATACAGGGAATGACGGAGAGGAGAGGTGAGAACAAGAGAAAGGAGAGGACAGAATGGAGGAGAGAGGACAGGGGAGAGGTAAAAGAGGAGAATAGTGAGGAGAGGAGACAGATATATGTGCTATATGGTTACAAAATGTTGCAGACGGTGGGAATAACTTCTTGCAATATTAACCATCAAACAGCAAATGCTAAGAAGATAAACTGTTCTATGTACACTTAGGCCTCGTTTCCACTGAGCTGATCGGTTCGGGTCAGTACAGTTTGGAAGGTTTTGAATGGTCCAGCCTATTCAGGCAAGCGTTTCCACTGCAAGTTGGAACGCCTGGAGGCTTGCGTGGTTTACACCAAATGCCTAGTGTGGCGTCACACTAGTGCGACAACATACGTGACGCTACAAATAACAATAATGGAGGTCATCTATTTGGTTTTTGGTTCTCTGAAATTAAAATACATGCTGCACTTTAAGAGAGAAGGTTGCGAGCGGCGAAGAGAAACACAGCAGAAAAGAGAAGAAATCTTATGGCTTGGGTCTTGAGCCGGGAGGAGAAGTACACCTTTGTGCGTCAAAGACAAAGACGGCAGCGCTATGGGGTAAGCAACTTTATGCCATTTGTCATGTAGTTCTACACGTATTAAAAAATAAAATACAGAATATGTAAAAAATCTAATATAACATGAGAAGGATATACATTATGTATTTAACAACCTACATGTTGCACACATATGTACAATTAAAGAATTACACCTTATACATAAATACTCCTTATGTTAATTATGTTGCTTGCTTTTATACATGATGCTATCTGTCCGTGTAAAGTATTTTATGTTGTACTATTAGTGATATGGTAACACCAGTCTTTTTTTTTTTTTTTAGATGCTTCTCCTTTTGTCAAAGCAGCGCCGCCGACCAGTCATTTGGGTGTTCCGCCGCGCCAATGAGTGGTGGGATGTGACCGTCCCTGGATTCACACACACACAGTGGGTGCACAATTTCAGAATGTTGGAGTAAACATTTTTATACCTTTGTGCAAAGCTACATCCAGCGATGGAGAAGCAAACCACCAACTTCAGAGCCTGTTTGCCTGTGAGGAAAAGAGTTGCCATTGCACTGTGGAAGCTGGCTACCAACAGTGAATACAGAAGTATAGGTCATCTTTTTGGTGTCAGTAAATCATCAGTGTGCCGGTGTGTGCAGGACTTCTGTAAGGCTGTATGCACATTGTTAGCTCCTGAAATTATTCATTTTCTGGACTGGCAAAAGCTTAAAGACATGGCTGACTACTTTGAGAACAGGTGGGGCCTTCCACAAAGTGTTATTGATGGGTCACACATACCAATAATAGCACCACAAGAATACCACACTGACTACTTCAACAGAAAAGGCTGGCATTCCATCATCCTCCAAGGAGTAGTGGATGGAAAAGGACTATTCTGGAGTGTGAATGTAGGGAAGCCTGGGAGTTTGCATGATGCTCGGGTTCTACGACTGTCCACATTTTGGGATTGGGTTGGGCAGGGAGTCCTGTATCCTGTTTTCACTAAGAACATTGGGGGGGTGAATGTTGGCTATTCTGTGCTTGGGGACTCTGCCTACCCTTTACAAAATTGGCTCCTTAAACCATTTCCTGACAATGGCCGCCTGACACCAGAACAACAAACCTACAACAAGAAAACATCCAGGGCACGGGTCGTAGTTGAATATGCATTCGGAAGACTTAAGGGTAGGTGGCGTCTTATGAAGAGGAATGACGGTGACATTGCAATTGTCAAATCCATGGTGCTTACTTGCTGTGCTCTTCACAATCTTTGTGAAAGACATGGAGAAGACTTCCACCAGGATTGGAATACGTCTGCAGAAGAGCCAGGGCGGGTAATTATACAGGATAGCGAAGACGAGTGCAGTGAAATACGTCAGGCTCTGATGCAGCACCTCAACATTTAATATCTTACCCTGATTTTATTAACGTTTTATTACAGTTTTATTAAAGTTTTAACAAAATTTTACATTTAATCAGACACACGCAAAGTCCCTCCTGTTTTTTATTCAACAAAAAAGTGACCTTTCAAAATATACTTACAAGTACAGAGTAAAAAAATATATTTACAAATAAACCTTTTTTACAAAAACCAAAAATAAATATTTTTACCAAAAAATAAAAAAAGTGTACAGTTCCTGTGCTGGCTGAAAGGCACTAGTGCCTGGGCGGTGACCTGGGATCACGACTGCCTCCCAGCACTTGAACAAGCTGCCCAAGGACACCAAGGAAGGCCTGGTTGAAGATGAAAAAGACCGGTCAGGGTCGAAACGTCGATCCATTCCTGTATGCATCCTATTGATTAATAAAGCATTATTTTCACTATTTTGAAGACCTGTGAGTGCATCCCGTTTTTGATCTTTTCTATATATAAATATGCATTCGGTACACAGAATAATAGGGGCTATTTATAAGAGCAATTCCTGAGTCAGGTTTCTAAAAATGGAGCAATCAATAGAAATATTCCCTTTGTTTCCATGGTAATTGCTTCATACGAAGAACGTTGTCTCGAGTTGTCAATCGGCCCATCCTTCTCAAACTCAACAAAGTGATTCTGTGTACGGGCTTGGACTCTGTGACTCTGCATTTAGATTTATTTTCTTGTCGATTAATCTTTTAGTTTAAGTTGTTGGTTTGATGATACAGTACAATATACTGATTTAACACCTACATTGACAGGCTGTTTTTACATTTGTTTTGCTATAAGTGGTCAGCATACAAAAACATAAATGAACCCCATAACCATATTGTATAGTTTACAGTGAGTTGTGGGGATCTGAGAACCTATGTACACAATTTAGGCTAAAGTTGCCGAGTCTTATAAACATTCTAATTCAACCCTGATGGATATTTTATATTTTAAACGCAAGTCAACTTTAACCCATTCAGGACCAAACTTCTGGAATAAAAGGGAATCATTACATGTCACAGGTCATGTGTCTTTAAGGGGTTAAATCCCTACAGATCGTTGTTTAGTGGGCAGACCCCTTTTTTAAAATATAATTTGTATAAACCGTCAGAATAATGTCAGTCGTATGTTTTGTGATGTAAAGTCTATAATGTATCATTATCATCGGTACGAGAATATCCTTTCCATCCGCTTCATGTCACATTTCACATAGTTGTGACCTTGCTGTCTGACACTGATATGAGGTCCATGCATGGACAAGGATAACGGTTTGTTAGGAATGAGAGCGGTGGGGTTTGTAAGATGGACAGACAGACAGACTGAGAGATAGAAGTGAGGGATTGTCATAGGGTGTTTCTTATAAATGCAACCTGTGAGTTTCCCTCCATCATCACCTGATAGAAAACAAAAAGCTGTTTTAGTGCTTTCTGTCATACCATTCTGTAATTAGGCCCAGTAGGCTCTTAATTTAGCCCTGGCAGAGGTGAGGTAGCAGTTGTGTGGGGTCTTTGCTAGCCCGGCACGATGGGTTTGTACATGGGCTGGTGGTCTGGGCTCTCAGCAGGACTGGAGCAAGGATTTTTGCTGCCCCCTCCATGTTATGACATCACAACCATATGACCTGAAATAAACAAAAAAGGTGTTTGTTTCGGTCTATATTGCACAAGGGTGGGGGAACTCTTTGTTGGTGAACACCAGCTATTGTATCAGATAGTGAGCGCTTATTTCCTATACAACCTTATGATCCACCCATCTCATCACATATGCCCCATCCCTTTTTATGAAATTGACATTAATCCAAAGATACTTCACATTCATATGCACACATTTATGAACAAATATAGCCACATTCACACACTCAGTTATTAATATATTGAAATCATGATTCCGGAGGTCCCACCGTTTGCTGCTGAGACCACATTCTGCACAGCTCCCTGTAGTTCTGTGCTGATGCATACAGACATTGCACCCTTGCGGAGCGCTACCTAACCTAATAGGATGGCTCTAGCAGCCTTCAGTGTGCACTGGACACCGGCAGCCAGTAGATGGAGTCTGTGAGTAATGGCTACATTGTGGCTGCAGGTGCCAGCACGTTTCCCATCACCCATTCATACTGAATGCCTGCCTCTAAACCAGTCTGACCGACCAGCCAGTATTAACGCTCTTTGATGGATCTGTCTGGGCAGCTCATTTGCCCAGACTCCAGTAAAGCCGCCACGTGCTGCGCATAGGCATGTGCAACCCATTTCATTAGGATGTGCATCATAAAATTCTTCCCCATGTTATTTTTTAATGTAATGTAATGTGAATATTTATTAAAATGTTGAGTGGATGTGTGGTGTGGGTGTGTGTCGTGTAGATGTAGGGTGGCTGTAAGTGTTGTCGATATGTGTGAAGTGTATGTGGTGGCTTTCCGTGCGTGATTTATAAGGTTGGCTGTGTGTATAGCTTTGCGTGATGTGTGTGGCTGCATTTGGACAGCTGTGAGTGGTAGCTGTAGTGATGGCATAGGGGCTGTAGTGGTGGGATAGGAGCAGTAGTGGAGGTCAGAGGCTGAAGGAGGTCAGGAACTGTATTGGTGGGTGAGGGGAATAGGGGTGGTCAGCACCTGTAGTGGGTGGGGGGTCAAGGGCAGTAGATTGGAATCACAAGAAGTAGTGGGGGGTTAGGGGCTGTAATTGATGTAAGGGGCAGTATTGGGGGTTTGAGGCTGAACTGGGGGGTCAGGGCCTGTTGTGGATGGGTCAGAACTTGTAGTGGGATGTCAGGGGCAGTAGTGTGGGATCCGAGGCAATAGTGGGGTGTTTGGAGCTGTAATAGGGCTTAGGGGCAAAAATGTTGGGTTAGGACCTGTTGTGGGGTTTAGCACTTGTAAAGAGGGGAAGTCAGGGCAATAGTGTTGGGTTAGGGTCTATAGAGAGAGCCATGGACTGTGGCTCTGCCTAAAGCTGAACATAACCACTGTTTAGTGAACCAGGCTATGTGAAACTGATAGCTGCTGTGGTACTTGCTATCAGTGTTTAGAGCAGTTTCAGTCATTTTAAATATATATATACAGAATGTGAGTATTTATCCCACCTACACCTGTCTTTGTAACCCCTTATGTTTATCACCATCACTCCACTTGCTTCTCTTCTCACCCCCCCACAGCTGTACCTGTATCTCAATTCACCAATAACTTCTTCCTCCTCAATCCCCCCACATGTATTTCTCCTCTAACTTACCTCGACCTTGTGTCTCTTCACTCTTTCTCTCCACCAGCCCCTGAGCAGCATTCCTCCTGCAGGAAGCTCCTCCCATCGGCCCCTGAGCAGCATTCCTCCTGCAGGAAGCTCCTCCCATCGGCCCCTGAGCAGCATGCCTGCTAGTAATCCTGTCCATAGCTTTCCTCCTGCAGACAGCTCCTCCCACCAGAGATTAACACATGCTGGAAGGGAGCACACAACATGTGAGTAGAAAGAGGAGGGGATCCCTTCCTCTTACTTCAAACTGTATGCTCATCCCTGAGCAAGACCTGGTAGGGAGACCTCTGATACTGCCAGGCCTTGCTCTGCAAAGGGAGGGGGCAGCTGACACCCTGCTGGTCGTAGAAATCTTTTAATCTTCCTGTCGGCTCGTTCAGCAGCAGGTTGTCCTCTGCGGTGCCCCCAGTGAGCTGGCGCCCTGGGCCATTGCCTGGGTGGCCTAATGGAAGCGCTGGCCCTGGCTCTCAGTGGTCTCCATGCCTGGACTGGTCCAATGAGATGTTTCCTGTCAGACCACAGTGAGCCTGTATGTCCTATGGTGTCCCTGGAGGCACTTATTTGATTTATAAGTTACGGTGGGTGTCAATTCAGAATGGAGTCGCAGGAAACGTTGTCTGTTTCTCTTCATCAGGATCCTATCTGTGTGAACGTTCCATCATGCTTTGTAGGTCATACTGCTGGAGACCGCAGCAATATATAATATTAAACTCCCCTCCTCCTGTCAAACAATATACTGCATGCTCCATGTAAACAACACCACACAGACATCTGTGAGTTTTGTGCACATAAAAGGCTATATGCCCCTGGCCCGAACATTGTATGACTCATCACGACCACACCACAGCAGGCCCAACATGAGGGCCAGATAACCCGCTTCTCGCTCACCACACCAGCTACATAACGGTCCACATATAACCAAGCCGAGACCCTACTGGGCGACATACCAGACTCTGCAATGGAGACACGAAAACAGATCTGAAACCCTGCCCAACAAAGGCAGACCACAGAGGTTAACTTAGATATGCCGTGAGCTACATTGGACATAAGAACGTACATGAACCAAACTAAAAATGTGGACCTCTATACCAATCAGATTCATTTCCATTGTTAAATGTTGGTTAAATTAATGTTAATTACAGATTGTAACCTCCTTGACATGCTTCAAAAGGTAAACTTTGAAACTTATAAATAAAGATTTTTGAAAAAAAGGCCATATGCCCTCCTGTGTATCAAGAAAACATTTATATTTTGGATTATCCATATTCTTTCAATACCTTGCAGTGTGTTGCTCAGCTCAAGGGTTGAAGAGTGGCTCCAACTTAGCTTCTAAAATATAAAATGTTCCATTTGTGATGACATTACATTTTCTATCCAATTACAGACCAATCGCTCTCAGCTTTCAGTTTCCTAGAAACCTTTTATATCTTTCTATCAAAACCTATTACATATCGCTAGTTATAAATTATATTTTCTAAGAGATGGCAAGAAGGTCAGGACAGCCTGCCCAACATAAATGTACTCTTAATGACAATAACATGTAATAATAAACACAAAACACACTGGATAAACAGTTCCTGTTGGGAGAATTACTGAGTCTGTTATTGTTGGCTAACCTGGGTCCTCATTTAGGAGCCCAGGACTCGGGGGAGACCTAGCAAGAGTCAGCTATCTACCCACAGAGTTCAGCCAGTTGGATGTTGCCCCTCTGAGTGGGGCAGGGACTGGGGTAGCAGAATGAAGTATAAATCCTTGTTCCAGCCTGACCGGGACTGGAGGGTTTAGAGCAGGGCCGGTGCAAGGATTTTTGCCACCCTAGGCAAAAGAAAGATCAC